TTATGCTTATAGGCCCACCACCAAATGCCAAAACATGCTAAATAACCCAAACAATGTGCTTAGAAAAGAAGGTCGCTGAATCAAACAAGACAGCCTCATGCTCCAAGACAAGTTCTTACAAACCACACGAGGTTCTTAGAACATTCTTTGGTGAGCCCATGGGCAAGCCAGGACGCTGCGCTTCTGCCTGGGCCATGGCCCGCGTGCTCCCTTCCTGGGGCGACATCTTGGCCACTGGGGGAACTCCCAGGCACCGATGCCGCTATGCACGCGCCGATCCTCCCCCACCTCCTCCTCGTCCTCCTCCTCCTCCTCTTCCTCTTCCTCCTCGTCCTCCTCCTCCTCCTCCTCCTCCTCCTCGTCCTCCTCCTCATCCTCCTCCTCCTCCTCCCCTCCTTCCTATCCTCCCCCCCCCCTCCCTTCCCCCCCCCTTCCCCCCCTTCCTCTTCCTCCTTCCTCCTCCTCCTCCTCCTTCTCCTTCTCTCCTCCGCCCTCACCCCGCCCCCATCCTCCTCCACCTCGCTTTCCTCCTCCTCTTCCTCCTCCTCCTTCTCTTCCTCCCCCTCCTCCTCCTCCCCTTCCCTCCTCCTCCTTCCCCTCTCTTCCGGCTCCTCCTTCAGTCACTTGGCGGCGGCAGGGGCGGCGGCGGCAAGGGCGAGGATGGGGGGCGCCTGCGCGCAGAAGGCGCCGACGACGGAGCGCCGTCCTGAGCGGGGCCCCGCTCGTCCTCTTAGATTCGCATCCCTCTCCTCCTTCTCCTCCTCTTCCTTTTTCTCCTCCTCTTCCCCCCCCTCGCCCTCGCGTCAAGCGGGGGGTGCGAGCGGGGGAAGGAGCCGCGCGAGCGCGCATCCTCAAGCGAGAGCGGCGGGGCACCACTCCGCGATGTTCTCTCCGGCAGTCGGGCAGCGCTCCAAATCCACCGCCTTCGCGTCCCTTGCAGGAGCAAGAGCGCGCAACAACGGCGGGGCAACGTAAAGGAGGAAATGGCGGAGCTGGGGGATGGGGGCCGCAAGGGCTCGGGGCTTCCGCAGCGCGGCGATCTCGCCGTCGCGCCACTGGCGCCGCGCTCGACGCTGATCCAGCCAGGCGGGCGCACTCGCGCGATTCAATTAGGATCTTTTCTAAAATCGGTTGGGGGTGTGGGGGGGGGGGGGGGGCGGGGGGTGGGGAGGGGGGGGGCGGGGGGGGATTCTAAAAGCCCCCCCCTCCTTTCCTCTGGCTACCCCCCCTCGCCCCCCGCGCCCCCCCCTCGCGCCGCGGTCGTGCCGCCCTGCCCGCCCCGGGCGGAATGGCCAGGGATTTCTGGAGCAAGCTAGCCCAGACAGTAGCATTCTAAAGGAGCTGTGGGTGCGTCCCAAAATGGTCCACCATCCAGGCCCGCAGTGCGAGGTACGTCATCTCTGGCGCCGCATGTTTGGGGTGCTCTGGCCCATCGAATTGCGCAATCGTGAGCGTTTTAAACTTGTCCTTGCCGCCCAAATGCCCAGTGGCCCATTTGTCCAGGAGGGTCATCTTTGCATTTGGCCACCCCATGTTCCGGGTGGGAGTAAAGAAGGCGTTCTTCCATGCAGTGTGGGTTCCGCGAGTGCACGGTCGACGATGTCAGGAACGTCGTCGGGTTCTGGCGCAAGCTCGGGCGGGCAACCCTCGCCCACGAGGTCAACCTCAGGCCCATCCTCGTCTAGCGCGTCGTCCATGTCGGAAGCTGCATCGGAAAACAGAACGCCCACATCTGATGCATCAGTATCGATGGCCCCCGCATCAGCAGCTGCGTCCTCGGGGCCCTCGTCCGCGCGCGCGCCCCCCGAATCGCCAGCAGCCGTCGGCGGGCCCTCGGGGCCCCCGTCCGCGCCAGCGGCCCTCGGCGGGATCTTGACGTCTGAGAGGCCAACCGCCCTCACCTGGATCAGAGGGGGCGCCAGGCTGCAGCGCGCCCGCAGCTTGGCGACGCGGACGTCGCCAAACCCCGCTGCCTTTTCAACTCCGCGGCGGGGCGGGACACTTGTTTCAAAGGGGCGCGGGCGTCAATGACAAGCCACCGATTCGGGCAGCGCCGAGGCGCCACGGGGGAGCAAAGCTGCGAAAACCTTGCCGCAGACGCCCGTTCGGGCCTAGACGCGGGCTGCCGTTGCGAAATAGCGTTTTCGCTGGTAATTCTCGGGCTCTGGCCTTAAATTGTCGGCAATGCATGGCAGGGCCAGTTTGGAAATTATATATATATATATTTACACACATAAAACCGAGCGGAACGGCACTTTTCAAAAGGAAGCCCAGCGAGCCAGCAAGTAGTCCAGAGAGGGGCGCCAACAGCGAGTTGCCCCAGGCGAAGACGAGGGCGGGGGCGGCGGGCGCGCCGCGGTAGCGGCTGAATCGGCCGCCAAGGTCAGTAGACGGGTCCGCTTCGAGCGGCGTGGCCCACGCTAGTTGCCCGATCTTGCAGCTGGAGATCTCGAGCCGACCTGCTGGGGGCTTCAGCATGAAAAAGCAGCGTTTCGCATGCGCCAGCTTTTTCACCCATTGGATATCTGGCGCGACAGGCCTGACTGCCTGCAAGCGTTCGGCGGCTGGTAGCGGGGCCGCGGGGCGAAGCCGTTCCGAGAGAGGTCGGCGAGCCGCTGTCGACAACTTGGGGAGGTCTTTCCACTTCTCGTCGTTCTGGTCCATCCAGGCAAGCCATTCGGGGTTCGTGTGGGGGTGTATGCACCCCTCTTGTTGCTTACTGCGCTTGGCCACATCTCGCATCGACTTCGCCTGCGCCGTCAGTTCTTCCCTGCGCTCCTGGAAGTGCGCGCGAAGCGCTGGTAGATCGCCTTCATGCGTGAGCGCGCGTTGTTGGGTCAGTGGCGTCTCGCTCTCCCAGTGCGGCCTGCCTCTGGGGCGCGGCATGAGATCTCTTCTCCCCTGGACAGCCGAGCTCCATGCTCAAATGGTCGCCAACTTGGCGCGCGTCTTCTGCGCTGAGATGGCGTTCGATATGGCCGCGCCGTGCTGCGACCTGCACGCTCGGAGGATGTCGCTCATGCAGGCGCGGGCCAAGCTGGTGATCCTGAACCCCTTGCGGGCCTCTGCGCGCTTGGTCAGCCAGTGCTCCCGCTCGACGTCCAAGCTGGTGGCCTCGGACTTGTCGAATATGAGCTCCAACTCCTCCTGCGCCGCGGGAGACGCGATGTAATCATAAGCGTCGGCGAATAACCCCATGGAAGCCGCCCGCTGCCGCAGCGGAAGGCTGCGACCGTTTCCAGGGCATCGTCGGGCGTTGCGAGCAGAAGCTCTTCGATTGTGCTCGGATGCAATAGAGGGTTCCTCCGGCGCGTCAGTTTCCACGGAGCACCAGGGGAACTGGAGAACACATCGAAACGCAAAAACACATGCCCCGTTGTCAGGGGAATCCGGGGCACCGCGGCGTCGACGCGAAGATCCGCGTCGCAATCCAAAGACTGCAACATGCGAGAGACGCCATCACTCCACGCTCGACTTCTTGCCATGGCCCAACTGCGAAGCATCGACGCCGAAACGGGCCAGCGGTCCCTTTTGCTCCCGCGTTGCGAACTCTGTCTTCGGCACGACCCAATATGTTTTGTTCACTGTCTCCGAAATTTTCGCCCGCCTCTCCAGCTTGACTTTCCACCTTTGCATCGCGTCTGCCGTCGCATTTTTCTTCTTCGGCAGCTGGGGGCACGCGTGGTGCAACGCGCAGTGCAAGTTGATCATGTCGGGGCCCACGTGGAGGCACGAACCAACTGCACGACGCCAATCCTTCAGCCGGTCGCGAGCTTGCTTTTGCGTTCGCTCTGGTGGCTGGAGGTCCAGAGCCTTCGCCACGTCGCCGACGTCGATCGCGTCCATGCCACTTACGATTGCGCAAGGCGCGCTGGATGCGCCACGTAATGACAATTTGAGCCTGAGCGTTGCGGAACGACCTTCCGAGTTGCAGGACGCCAGCGGCGAGGAGGAACAGGGGGGGGCAGGAGAGGCAGCGGGGGGAGGCAGCAGGAGGAGGCAGCAGGAGAGGGCAGCGGGGGGAGGCAGCACAGAGGAAGCAGGAGCAGGCAGCAAAAGGAGGGAGGCAGGAGCAGGCAGCAGGAGGAGCAGGCAGCAGGAGGAGAGGTGGAACCCGAGAAGGCCGAAGACAGCCCGAAGCTAGTCAAGAGGCCATCTAGAATGTTTCTGCTGCCTCGTCCTCTACCTCCTCCTCCTCCTCCTTCTCCTCCTCCACCTCCTCCTCCTCCCCATCCTCCTCATCCTCCATCCTCCCCCTCCTCCTCCTCCTCCTCCTTCTCCTCCTCCTCCTCCTCCCCTTCCCCTCCCTCCCCCCCCCCCCTCCTCCTCCTCCTCCTCCTCCTCCCTCCCCTTCCTCCTCCTCCTCCTCCTCCTCTTCCTCCTCCTCCTCCCCCCTCCCCCTCCTCCTCCTCCTCTCCTCCTCCTCCTCCTCCTCATCCTCCTCCTCCTCCTCCTCCTCCTCCTCCTTTCCTCCTCCTCCCCCCCCCCTCTCTCCTCCTCCCCCCCCTTCCTCCTCCTCCTCCTCCTCCTCCTCCCTCTCTCCTCCTCCTCCTCCTCCTCCTCCTCCTCCTCGCCCCCCCCCCCCCCCCCCTTCGTCGGCGCTCGAAGCGAGGTTCGCCGCCGTCAGGGCGGCAGCGTGCTGCGGCGGCGTTCCCGTCCATGACATCGCCCTTCTCTCCGCAGCCTGCTTTTCTTAGCAAAGGCCTTGCGGCCACCGCCGCCGACCCTGGCGGCCTTGGCCCTCGAGGGCGACAGGGTGGATGAGGGGAGGCCGGCGCCAGGCAGTGGGTTGAGGGGGGGAGGGGGGGGGGGAGGGGGAGGAGGAGGAGGAGGAGGAGGAGGAGGAGGAGGAGGAGGAGGAGGGGGGGGAAGAGGAGGAGGAGGAGGGGGTCGGAGAATGATGAAGTGAGTAAATCTTTGTCGGCTCTTGCAGGGCACATTTGCGCACTTTTGCGCACATTTGCCCACTCTGTGTTTGAAAGAAGGCTCCCATCACTTTCATGCTAAGTTTCAGCGCCGTCTACTCGTTCGTCCAGCAGAATTACCAGCGCGCCAGGTCTCTCTGGTCGTCGGCACGGCGCGAGTTCAGGATCTTCCGCGGGTTGCTGGTCACGCTCGTCTCGGACCTTGACGCCGAGTGGTCCACCAAGGTCGTCATGACTGACGCCTGCGAGACGGGCCACGCCTCGGTCGAGGGTGAGTGGGACCTCTCCGAGGTGCAGAGTGCTGGTCGCTGGCACGAGCGGTGGCGGTTCCGCCACACGCGCGAGGCGGACGGGGGTTGGCGGCCGCGCGACCGCGCGGCACGTGCGGCCGAGGCCGCCGAGCTGGATGCACACCCGTCTGTTCTGTTGCGCCGGGGTCTCGCCAACAAACGATTCCCCGAAGTGTCGACGCGCGCCATCCGCCGCACCAGCTGGTCGACCATGTACTACTCGCCTCTCTTCGGCAAGGAGCCCATGCATCGTAAGGAGGCAAGAGGTGACTTACGCGCCGTGAAGCTGATCCTGTCGGACGCGGACTCCTGGGGGAAGAGGCGCGTCGTCTTGGGGGACAATCTAGCACTCGCACTTGCACTATCTAAAGGGCGCTGTCGTGATATATTTCTGCTCAATATCTTGCGGCGAGGCGCCGCCTTGACTCTCGCCTCGGGGGCCCGCATGCATCGACGATGGGTGCCCAGCGAGTTCAATGCGGCCGACGGTGACAGCCGCTCCCGCGAGGGTGTTGCAGGACGCGCTGCATCTGGGGCCAGCTGGCGCGCTGCCGCGGCGCGCGGGCGCCAGCTTCGGCACCGCCGCAGCTCGGCGCGGGGCCCCGAGGGCGACGGTCGGCCCGACAGCGGCTGGCCCGCGGCCCCAGCGGCCCCGCCTGGACTCGAGCGCTGCCCTGCCACTGGCAGCCGCGCGCCCGCTGCGGTCCCGCGGCCTGGCGGCGCCGGCGTCGGCCAGGCGGCTGAAGCGCAGCGCGCCTGGGAGTGGCCCGTCAGCGCAGGCCCCTCCGCAGCCCTCGGCGGCTCGGACGCCGCTACGCCGCAGCTGGGGCCCCCTGGGCTCGCCTGCCTGGCGCCGCCGCGAGGCTCTGCTTCGACGTCCGTCGGTGGTGCTAGCGGCCCCGCGCAGCATCCCCCTGCGGGAGCTACCGCGGTCTGTTGGACGCTGGGGAGCAGGCGCGGGACACCACCCGCCAGCTCTCCATCACCGAGGCTGCCGCGGTGGGACGGCGGAGCCGACTGCAGTGCACGCGGCTGCTCGAGCTGTTCCTCAGACGCAGCCGCCTGACGTCTCTGGCGGCGCCTGCTGCCGACGCGGGCGCCGCGGTGGTGAGGTTCTTCGACGAGCTGTACCTCGAGGGGAAGGTCGCGTCGACGGGCGAGAAGCTCCTCGCCGCGATCTTCATGCACGTGCCTGACTACCAGAGCAAGGGGAAGCTGGCCCTGCCGCGCGCCTACCGCGCGCTGCGAGGCTGGCGCCTGCTGCGGCCCTCGCGGACGCGACGCCCGCTGCCCTGGGCGGCCTGCATGGGCGTGGCACGCCAGATCTGGAAGATCAGCGGCCGCCCCGCCCTCGCGGTGTTCTGGCTCCTGATGGTGGACACGTACCTGAGGCCTGGCGAGGCTTTCCGCCTGACCTGCGGCCAGGTGATCCCTCCGCAGGCGCACGTGCCCAAGGTAACGATCCACATCAACCCCGACTACATGAAGAGGCCGAGCAAGACTGGCGAGATGGACGAGACAGTGGACGTGGCACGTCCGTGGCTGGGCAACTTGCTGGTTCGACTGGCCCAGGGCCCGCCCAGTGGCCCCCTGTGGACCTTCACTATGACGGAGGCCAAGGACGTGTTCGAGCGCGCGACCCGCGCGCTGCACTTGGACAAGCTGCTGCCCGTGCTCTACACAGCCCGACACAGCGGTGTGTCCATCGACCGTTTCACGGGGAGGATCTCGTTGCAGGAAGTCCAGCGGCGCGGCCGCTGGCGCCAGCCGAGCTCGGTCAGGCGCTACGAGAAGCGCGGGCTCATCCAGGCAGTATGGAGCGAGATGGAGCCCTCAGCCAAGGCATACTGCCTCCAGGCCGAGGCCGAGCTGCCCTCGCTGCTCGCCGCCGCTTCGATATCCGCCAACGCCTGAGTGACCCCCGTACCAAGAGGCACGAGTATTTCTATGTAGATATCTTCTCGGGCTCAGAGCATTTCTCGAGTTCGTTGCGCCGTCGTGGGTTCAGAGTGCACTCTTTTGATGTGCTGCAAGGGCCCCAAGGTGACCTCCTGAGGCCCGCTGTCCTTAGGCGCATCTTGGGAATGATCAAGTCTGACAAGTGTCTAGGTGTGCTAGCTGGTGTGCCATGTAAGTCGTTCTCCATTGCCCGAGGAGGCCATAATGCAATCAGATCGTCGCAAGCGCCCTCTGGCCCCCCTCTCTCCCGCCTCATTTGCAATGCCTGGTAGACGAGGGCAACAAACTGTTTCAGGTGTCCTGTAAGATCTTTAAGTGCTGTAAAC